GTAAATATTAGGCGCACGCTTTTTGGGTCAACAATGGAGGCGCAGTATAAACAAGTCAAATTAGAAGGCGCAACAATTTTTTGACGAAAAACTTTTTTTTTTTTATTTTTTTTATATTACATTCCCTTTGGCTATAAATAGCCTAAGCCATTTTCATCATAAACACACGAACCAAAATCAAAGTATATATAGAAAAGCATTAAATATATATACTTATACACCACCGTATATTTTAGCTCTCCCACTCTATTTGTAATCTCTTTCATAATCTCTGTAAACACTGCAAATTATAGTGAATTGTTTCTCGGCTTCCTCCGCCCGTGGTTTTTCCCGATTTGGGTTTCCACGTAAATTCCTGTGTCTCTATTCTATTTATTTTATTCGTATTACGTTGTGATTATTACGCTTTGATAATTTTTGATCCCATTCCGCATTGAGCTAATATTATTTAAGTCAATTTGGATCCGTCGTATTTTACAACAATTGGTATCAGAGCATCCGGGTTGTGATATTAGCTCGTTGGGATCATTTTATCAAGTAATTAATCATGTCTTCGGTAAAATACGATATTCCACTACTGGATCGTAACACCCGATTTCCGTTGTGGCAAGTAAAGATGAGAGACATTCTCATTCAGATGGATTTACACAAGGCGCTATTGGGTTTCAATAAGATGCCCGATACATGGACCGAAGAAGAAAAGAAGATGAAAGATCTGAAGGCTTTATCCCAAATTCGTTTGCACTTGTCAAACGATGTTTTGCAAGATGTTCTAAAAGAAACGTCAGCGGCTTCTTTATGGCTAAAGTTGGAACAACTGTTGATGACCAAGAGCTTACCAAACAAGTTGCATTTGAAGCAACGGTTGTTCAATCTCAAGATGATTGAAGGAGGCTCTTTAACTGAACATATATCCACATTTAAAGAGTTAGTAAATAACTTAGAGAATATGGATGTTCAGTATGAAGATGAAGACTTGGCTCTATTCTTACTATCGTCGTTGCCAGAATCCTATAGCCATTTTCGTGATACTATTATCTATAGCCGTGACACTCTAGTTTTAGATGAAGTCTATACAGCTTTGGATTCAAAAGAGAAGATGAAGCATATTACTGGTGGTGGTTCAAGTGATGCTAAAGCCGAAGGTTTGAATGCCAGAGGAAGAACAACAGAGAGAATAGAACTTCTCAATCTTCCAACAGAACCAGATCCAAGTCAAAAGGCAAACGAAAGTTTTGCAACTATTGTCACAAGAAGGGACATGTGCTTGAAGAATGCTTCAAGTTGAAGAACAAAGAAAAAGAGAAGACGGCAGCAAATGGTAAACAAGCTAGCACTTCGGGTGAAGCCGATCTAGCTGAGGTCGAAGGTATTGGAGAACTTTTGACAGTTTATTCAGATAAACTGGATTCCACTGGTGATTGGATACTCGACTCTGGTTGTACTTTTCATATGTGTCACAACAAAAGTTGGTTTTACACATTTGAAAAGGTTAACCAGGGCTATGTGTTGATGGGTAACAATACTACATGTCCAGTTCTTGGACATGGTTCAGTCAGGATCCGTATGTTTGACGGAGTTATTCGAACCATGGGGGATGTTAGATATGTTCCTGACCTCAGAAGAAACTTGTTATCTCTCAGTTCCTTTGACAAAAAGGGATACGAGTTTGCTGGTAAAGGTGGAGTTCTCAGGGTATTCAAAGACGGTTCCGACAAACTGAGAGCCGAACGAAAAACCTCAGATCTTTACTTTCTTGACGGGCAAACAATTTCGAGTGATGCTGCTGTTGTGTCAAAGTCTTTTTCTGATCCAGATCAGTCCCGTCTTTGGCACCTTCGACTCGGCCATATGAGTTTTCAAGGCATGTCAGAATTGAGTCGAAGAGGTTTACTTGGTCAACAAAAGATTGTTGATTTGGATTTCTGTGAAGACTGTGTATATGGCAAGGCAAAACGAGTGAGGTTTGCAAGTGGTATCCATACAACGAAAGGACCACTTGATTATGTTCACTCGGATTTGTGGGGACCGGCTCGAGTTGCTTCAAAAGGTGGAGCTATTTATATGCTCACTATTATTGATGATTTCTCCAGGAAGGTGTGGTCTTTCTTCTTAAAAAATAAAGGAGACGTTTTCTCTACCTTCAGAAATTGGAAAGTTCAGGTTGAAAAGCAATCAGGTCTGGTGGTTAAAGTATCTTCGTACGGATAATGGACTTGAGTTTTGCTCAGAAGAGTTTAATGTCTATTGTCAAAAGGAAGGCATTACTCGACATCGCACAGTAGTCCATTCACCTCAACAAAATGGTGTAGCTGAAAGGATGAATCGCACCATTATGGAGAAGGTCCGGTGTATGCTTTCTAATTCCAAATTGCCAAAGTCTTTTTGGGCGGAGGCTGCTTCGACTGCTTGCTATGTTATCAACCGATCACCGTCACGAGCAATCGAGAAGAAAACTCCGTTTGAATTATGGTCCGGTAAACCTGCAAATTATTCAGATTTAAAACCATTCGGATGTCCAGCGTATGCACGAGTTGACAATGGGAAGCTAGAACCAAGAGCAATCAAATGCGTTTTTCTTGGGTACAATCAAGGTGTAAAGGGTTACAAGTTATGGAGCTTTGATTTGAAGAAAATTATCATCTCAAGAGATGTTACTTTTGATGAGTCTGCTATAATTCAACCAGTTGCTGACTCTTCTAAAAGAACAGATGCATCAGATGTATCATCCGAAGCAAATAAAGAGAATGCTCAAATGGAGGTGGAGCTTCCTACTTCACCTACCACTAATCAGAGTACAAATCAGCATCAAGATTCTTCTTCGTCGGATGAGCATGTTGTTGGTGAAGATTCAACACCTTCACAACCACAAGCTACTACTCCAAGCATTGCAAGAGATAGACCGAGAAGACAGATTATTCCTCCGAAGAGGTATGCTGAATCTGATTTGGTTGCCTATGCTTTTATTGTTGCTGATAATATTGAGTCCGCAACGGAGCCTGCAAATTATGACGAGGCTATCAAATCTGAAGACTCAAATGATTGGATGCTCGCTATGCAAAATGAGATGGAATCCTTGCAGCGAAACAGTACTTGGAATTTAGTTCCTATTCCGAAAGGGAAGAGACCAGTTAAATGCAAGTGGGTCTACAAGCTCAAGGAACCTGTCAACCCAAATGATAAACCAAGATACAAAGCTCGGTTAGTAGCTAAAGGCTACAGTCAGATTCCTGGTATTGATTACACTGACATTTATTCCCCAGTTGTCAAACATACTTCCATTCGTGTGTTGTTGGGGTTGGTTGCTTCTAACGATTTTGAGTTAGAACAACTTGATGTCACTACAGCTTTCCTAAATGGTGAGCTTGAGGAAGAGATTTTTATGCAACAACCTGAAGGTTTTGTAGTTCCTGGAAAGGAGAACTACGTATGCAAGTTGAACAAATCTCTTTATGGCCTCAAGCAGTCTCCTAGACAATGGTACAAGAGGTTCGATTCTTTCATGACCAGTCACAAATTCAGCAGGTGCACCTATGATAGCTGCGTTTATTTCAAGAAAGGTGACAATGGTTCAAAGATCTACTTACTCTTGTACGTGGATGACATGTTGATTGCAGCAAAAGATATGAAGGAGATTCAGAAGTTAAAAGACCAGTTGAAAGCTGAATTTGAAATGAAGGACTTAGGAGCTGCCAAAAAGATTTTAGGTATGGAAATTATTCGTGACAGGAAGTCTAGGATCTTGCATCTTTCTCAGAAAAGTTATATTGAGAAAGTCCTAAGACGCTTCAGTATGCACGAAGCAAAGTCTGTCAACACACCTTTTGCAGCTCATTTCAAGCTATCATCCGCTTTGAGTCCTACTAATGAGACTGATATGGCTTACATGGCACGTGTTCCATACTCTAGTGCTGTTGGATCTTTGATGTATGCTATGATCTGCACGCGCCCTGATTTGGCTTATGCTGTTAGCATGGTTAGTAGATACATGGCGAACCCGGGGAAAGAACACTGGAAAGCAGTACAGTGGATTTTTCGTTATTTACGTGGTACGTCTTCTATGTGTTTACGTTTTGGTAAATCTAACACTGGGGTGTTCGGATATGTTGATTCAGATTATGGCAAAGATTTGGATAAACGAAGATCAATTACAGGGTATGTGTTTACTCTAAATGGTTGTGCTGTTAGTTGGAAAGCCCAGTTACAGTCTACAGTTGCCCTGTCTTCTACCGAGGCAGAGTACATGGCGATTACAGAAGCAGTTAAGGAAGATATCTGGTTGAAGGGGTTATTTGGAGAACTCGATGATAGAATAAAGGTGACCACAGTTTTCTGTGACAACCAGAGTGCTATCTTCTTGAGTAAAGATCAAATGTTTCATGACCGAACAAAGCATATTGATATTCGTTATCATTTTGTGCGGGATATCATTGAAAAAGGTGATTGTGTTGTGGACAAGATTCATACAGATTATAATCCCGCTGATATGTTCACTAAAAGTGTTCATATAGCCAAGTTCAAATTATGTTTGGACATGGTGGGTGTTTCTGATCGCAGTTGAGCCTGAAGGCTCGTAGGTGGAGGAAGTATTATTTATTTTTCGGAAACAATTTTTTTCTCTATATAAAATTTGCAGGTTCTTATGGAAGTTTTAGAGTTTGGTGAGCTATAGGTTTTGACTAATCGTAAAGCATGACTTGCTTAATTTTGATGTCAAGGTGGAGATTGTGGAAAAGTTACCTCCAAAATTAGCAAGTGTCAAATAGTTCAGGGGTTATTTCCGTAACTTATCATTTACTATTTATAGTTTGACTATGAATAGTAATATAAGTGTGAAATGTTTGAAAATGAGAATGGACGGTAATATGGATTGGCAACTTGTTTGGTAAATATTAGGCGCATGCTTTTTGGGTCAACAATGGAGATGCAGTATAAACAAGTCAAATTAGAAGGCGCAGCAATTTTTGGACGAAAAACTTTTTTTTCTTTTCCTTTCATATTACATTCCCTTTGGCTATAAATAGCCTAAGCCATTTTCATCATAAACACACGAACCAAAATCAAAGTATATATAGAAAAGCATTAAATATATATACTTATACACCACCGTATATTTTAGCTCTCCCACTCTATTTGTAATCTCTTTCATAATCCCTGTAAACACTGCAAATTATAGTGAATCGTTTCTCGGCTTCCTCCGCCCGTGGTTTTTTCCCGATTTGGGTTTCCACGTAAATTCCTGTGTCTCTATTCTATTTATTTTATTCGTATTACGTTGTGATTATTACGCTTTGATAATTTTTGATCCCATTCCGCATTGAGCTAATATTATTTAAGTCAATTTGGATCCGTCATATTTTACAACATGTATGTTGCACCTTTGCATACTCCATTGACAATGGCTATTGCACATGGCTCCGCCCCCCATTGTTGGGAGCATGGTTCTGAAATCCTGCAGAAAGTAATTCGATTTAGATTAGATATAGGTTATAGTGACAACTGAAAATGAAGGCAAATGAACCGGTAATTACTTACCTTTTGTAGACGAATACCAACACCATTAGTTAAATTCTTTGCTGTTATGAGATTTGTTTCTGTGTAACCAAGTGTCATAATTGTTATTGTTATTGTTGGAGACACTTGGAATCTAAGGGACTCATAGAAGCTGATCAGCGCCGATTTACTAACCTGAATATTAATTGAGACATATGGTGTACCAGTATCATATAAGGTTTTATGGTTATATAACTTATAAGAAAGATGACAAACAAAAATTGGTAGATTGAATTTGGTTCTTACATTGTAGAAGCCGCCTTTTGGTGGGTGCAACACTCCCGCAGATGAGGCGTTCACCACAATCTTTCCACGGGTTTTCATGAGGTGTGGTATTGCAAAATGAGTTGGATAAACCGATCCCCAGAAGTTAATGTCCTGTAAATATTCATTTATGAATCTGTTGTCATCGTGTTTAGAGTTTGAGTATTAGCCAATTTATTTAATTAGTCATTGAATTATCTTGTATTTGAGATATACTCTTGATTCACTTTCCACAATATGTTATTGTATGTATATAAATTAGGATATGATTAATGAGAATGCACAATTGATATATGTATTCTTTCATCTTTTATTGAGCATGGACCGGGCCGATCTTGATCGTGGACAAAATATTTGGCTCGACTTTGGCCTGGTCATTGGGATTCGAAAAAAGCGTATTGTCTATATCCGTATGAGGGTTCGTCCAATACGGGTGCGACGTAGTCTAATTTCTCAGATAAATGTTATTCATTAAGTATAATTTACTAAAAGTTGTAAATTAAATTACAAATCATTCCTCAACGGATTAATTTAAATATAACTTGTATAAAGTTACAAGAAAAATGTGTGGTTTATATTGATTGTTAGAGAAATCACATAAATGTCACATTTTCCCGATTGACCACTAGGAATCAAAACTTCCGATTAAACCACCAAGCATTGACTTTTATTTCTACTGCAACCATTGTGTACAACCGGTTTATTTGATGCGTTGGTTTGTACAAATTACCTAAAACTATCGTATTTTGAGGAATTTTTCAGTTTAAACGCTACGTTTTGAGTATTTTCCTAGATTAACCATTATTTTTTTGAACGGTCCCAGATTAACCATTTTACTTTGGGCACTTATCCATATTATAGTATCAAAGAAAACAGTTATACCTGACGGATGTAGAAGGTAATACGTAATAATGGTTGAATAATTATTAAATTAGATTTTGGGATTTAAGATTAGGTAGATACATAATTTTAAAGTTTTAATTGTAGAAGATGAAGAAAACGAGGAAGATGAAGAAATAGTATGCTATATAAAGGATCATACCATGACAGGTGCGAATTTGGTGATCTTGGTGTTAATCGAATAAATAGACCCGATTCCAGCATTACAAATAAGATGATCTACTGCGAAAGGGATCAATTTAACATGTTAATTCACAAAAAAAAAATGAAATTGAGAAAACAAAAAACAAATGATTTAGAGATTACGGGTTACCCACATCTACCAAAACGTCCAATGGTCTCATCCACGAACATCCTACACTCATCAACCTTCGACACATCGGCAAACACGTAAAGAACATCTGGAGAGCCGAGTTCACGGGCTTTATTTGCTACTTGCTCGAGTTGACTCTCTGGTTCTTTTATCGCGACAATAACTAAACATGCACCTCTTTTTGCATATTCGTAACCCATGAGCTGCTATTTATAAAGCAAATTATTAAAGAAAAGTTGAACTTACATGATAGTATTTAGGGTTTATTGTTTACGAACCTCTCCGAGTCCCGAAGAAGCACCGGTGATCAAAACCACTTTTCCAGACATGTTTTCGATAGGTCGGAAACATGATCGGAGGGTGGTGATGAGTTCCCAAATGAAAAGAAAAGGTGCAATGAGAAGCAAAAGTAACAAGAACACGTAGTACACAAGTGCATTGGTGAACTTGTTATTAAAGTAGGCTGCGTACATGGCTGGTGTCTGGTGATCGATACACACAACAGAAATGATTCCTTTGGATTTTGTAGTTGAATAAATGAAATAGTGCATTTACTTCGCTCATAAGTACCCACCTATGTTGGCCTATTATGGATTTGAAAAGTTATATGTTATTTTAATTTTATAAATAGTTATTCTGATAGGTATGGCTAATTATTATATATATATATAGATATATATATATATATATATAATATAATCTATATATATATATATATATATATATTAAAGTTGTGGAAGAAAAGAATAGTGAAGTTGTCATATTTTGTCTAGGTTTGGTCCCTTGATTTACATATCCGGTCCTTGTACTTCTTTAATTAATTTATTCATGTCCTTTTGTTTGTGTTCCATTCAACTTTCCATTTTTTTGGCAGAATTGGTCCCTGTATTATTGTTGGAAGTTAGGAATACTAAATTTGGATTTTTTTTGGCAACTTTGCTCATTATTCTTTACCCATTTTGACACTTTTGGTCCTTGCAATCAATATTTTTACACTTTTTTGGAACCTTTTAATATTTAAAGTTTGGCCACAAAACTTTAACGGTTTGACAACTTTGATCCCTTTTCTAAAAAGTTGCTAATTCCTACCCCTTTAATTCTTTAGCCATTTTCACACTTCTGGTCCTTGCAGTCAAAACTTTTACATTTTTTGTCCGGGACAAAGCCCGGACTTTTCATCCTTGCACTTTCTATGTCTGTCATATTTATCAATTTAGAAACAACATTGAAAGCTTCTGGCCCCCGCGCAGCGGGGGTAACCTTTCTAGTTTGTTATTATAGCTATAATATAATTATTATAGTAATTAGTAAATCAATTTTGGATGGTGATTCATACGACTTCCGTTTGTTTTAGTTAATTTTGTAAATTTTACTTATTTGAGATGTTGAAATAAAAAATAACAAAATCAATTCCTTTATTTATATTTCTTTTGAATGGCTTGTATAGATCAACTCATGATTTCTAGCACAACGGTATAAGCGGTATCAGGTGTAATCCTTCTTCTTTGAGGTCGAGGGTTCAAGTCCCGTCAGAAACATATGTGGATATAGGACTAATTTATGAGTATAGTGTATTTGCTGACTCCCATATTCATTAAAAGTTAATCTTATGGGTTGTAAAATAAACCAACATTACTAATAAATAGATTACTAATAAATGTTGTAGCATGCAAGTTGTTTAGAATGAGGTTGATGAATTATTTGAATGTGTATGTTCATTTTTTTTTATCATTTGGATTAAAGGCTGAAACCGAAAAGCTATTTGTCAAATATCCTCTTGAAAATTGATAAAAGAGCGGAGTGAATCGTTATAAAAGGGTGGTGGGTGGAGGGTGGTAATGATGATGTTGAATGAAACACCATTCCCTCCATTGTGGTACCACATGATTTCAAAGTTTCAACAGGTTCCCAAGCTCACTCTTTCTGCTCTCTTGTCTTTTCTCTCATTTGTATCATATGCAATATAAATTGTACTAAAGTATGTAGATTAAGATAAATTTATTTTCGTATGTTGTGGGATGAGAGGGGTGAAAGGGAGAGAATAAAGTTTTTTTTAGAATGACTTGCATACACACCCACTACTCTACTCATAAATCTACATCTTTCGTCAGCAGCGGGACTTGAACCCTCAACCGTTGGCTGAGTGGTACCTTTCCGTCAACTCTTGATACCGCTATACCAAAGACCATTTGGTGAAAGAGAATAGAGTTTTAGTTTTAGGTTATGTTTATTCCTTTTAATTAGTGGGTGTTGGCATCAAACTACAATAATTTTTATGTTAAAACTAGGAGTGAGCATGTGGGCTGGGTTGCGTCGGTTTTGACCTAAAACCAAACCCAAAACCGAGCTATCGGTTTTCAGAAAGTTAGAACCCAACCCAACACAAAACCGATGGGTTCAGTTTCTCGGTTTTTGGTTTTTTATCGGTACGGTTTCGGGTTTACATCCGAACCCAATTAGAATCCCATATAACCCTATTGAAATATTATAAATCAGATAGAAACCAGGAGATTAGATGCTTTCTTACTTGGGCGATATGGGATGGATATACGCTTATGTAAAAGCTGAAAACAAATATTTTTTAACAATGCAGCGATGTGGGATGCAGTATGATGCCTGAAAATAAAAACACAAACAATTGCAAGGGTAAAATCTCGAACCCACGACCTCTGTTTGAAGTGACCAACACCTTAACCATTAAACTGCACGTCTGTTTTGGTTATGCGTCCGTAAATATATACATATATTTACAGAATAAACATATGTATAGAAAAAATTGATGCCAAAAAAACTCAAACTTCTAACCTCTCGAAGAACACCTAGCGCCTTACCCACTTGCACTAACTGCTGCTTTTGGTTTTAATTCGCTAAACATATTTATATTTGCATATTAGATTTTGTATTTTTAATATAAATAATCGTTTCGGTTCGGTTTCTTTCGGTTTTAACAAACCCAAAAACTGAACCCAAACCGAAATTTTTAGTTTTTGAAAAATCTAAACCCAAACCGTCGGTTTTGCTTTGGTTTTGGTTTTGTCGGTTTTTTTTCGGTTTTGCTCACCCCTAGTTAAAATCACATTTTTGTTGTATGGTGAGTGATGAGATTAAGAATTACCAATGAAAATCGTATTCGGTTCAAAAACTTACGTTCTATTTTGTTGATACTGAAGTGTACTTTTGTGATTTAATTAGTAGTAAAAAGATTTTAAACCATCTTTGGAGCTAAACATTATAATTCTCATGGGATGGATTGATTAGTAGTTTCTTAAATCTTGAAATATTTATAAGGGAAAATAAGTATAGCATAAATCCATGATCATGATGTGAAAATGCAATCATTCGGGATAGATTTGCTTTTAGGCGATTATGTATCTAAATGAATCAGATGTTATTTTAACCTTCACAGATTCATAGATTTTTTACTCATTCATCATGTCAACAACAAGTGAGATAATGGTTGGGGAGATCACATCCAACCTTTATGAAGAGGCTCATAAGCAATGACTACTTAAGAACAAAAAGAGATTAGAGGTATTTAGCATGCAATTTCATGTAACTTGACTGTTAGGTTTTATTATCATCAATACACATCAAGGTAACATAATAACTTAGAGATTTACCTAAGTGTATATGCACTCTAGATCTAGCTTTTACTAGTTATAGCAACATATTTTATAAAACTACAAGAAAGAACATACTCACCTCTTGGCTTCTTGCTTGAGATATTGTGATTTCCAGTAGTTGCAGTGGATGAAGGATCCAAATTAGAACCCCTCTAATGAAGTCAGACCCACAAACCCCAACAACAAAAAAGAAGAACTGTAGAGTAGGGTTTAGTCAAAGTTATCTATCCCTAGGAGAAAGGTTAGAAATTTTGTCTATAGAGAGGGGGTGGACAAAGAGTGACAGAGTGGACGAAAATATGAGCAGAATCAACACCTAAGGTTTGACCCCTGGCAGTTTATTTATAGGTAGCTGATGAAACCCTAAAAGATACAAACTCTTAAGTTTTATCCTTATCTTATCTAAAAGCTACATTATCCTTATCAGGGGTGCAGTCAAAATCGCCCATACCAATGTTTTGGGAGCTTCTATAATATTCCAATTAATCTCTTGGATTAATTAATATTTAAGTCATTTAATTAATTAAAACAATTTAATTAAATACCAAAACAATTTCTAATTAATTTATTAATAAATTAATAAATTAATAACTTATTTTCTCCATTTCCTTAATGCTATTTGGGTCATGACAACAACCCAAAAAGACCATGTTATTGTTAGAAATATTACCAATAGAGTTAATGACGTTGGACACCATTTCCAACAGTCTCTCACTTGGACAAGTCGTTAACTTCTCGTGGTTTTAATATTTCACTAACAATCAACAAAGATTTGTCATCCAATGCAACTACCAAACTTTAATCATAATCAAAATTCAGCCTATAAGACAAGTTATCGATTATTACTTTGTTCTAGATATCTTTATGAACATGATACACGGATAAGGGTTAATCTCAAGATTGAACATTCTGTTTCCCAATTAGTGAATTTTTACAACATGTCTAGCATCTAAATCAAACACATCAATTTAGTTAGAGCTCGGCCAAGCACTTCAGTTGTCAACACCAAATCATCGATGGGCCCATAGATATCGCTTCCCAGTTACGAGAAAGAACAAATATTGTAACATCCTGATGTCAAGGTAATCCTATTTCCAGTCCTTTAATTTAATTATATTGCAATTGGCCTTAAAGTTCAAAAGTTATAGCATATGGGCCTAAATGACATTATGGCTTCGGATTACGCCATGCGTACGAGGTGTAAGCTAAGCGTATTAGATCGCGCCTTAGTACGTCGGGCGTACGATCTAAAAGTGAAAACCCTAATTTTTAGGGTTTAGCAAGTATTTAAACATCGTTAAGTCTCATTTTTTCTCGACTTTTTAGCCTCCAATAGTAGAAGTCGATTTCCCTTGCAACCCTAACCTCTCTTGAGCCCTTGGAAGGTTGAGTGTGAGTTTGTGAGTGCTCCATAAGAAGAAGAAGGTGGTGATAAAGCTTGGAAGCTTGAAGCAAGGCTTGGATATGGAAGTTTTGCTCTTTTCTCCATCATCTCAAGGTATAAAGTTCATACATCGATGACTTGTTTGCTAGATCTCATTTTGGGTGTTTTATGTTACCTTTTGGTCCTAAAAGTCCCATCTAGAGCATGGCATGTTCTGGATGCTTTGAGTTGTCCTTTCAAACCCTAGGAGGGGTCCTTAGTCATTAAATGAAGTCCCTTTGTTTAGAATTGCTCCATGCATCTTGTATTGGATTAAGACCTTATGTTAAGCACTTTGTGGGCGTGCAAAGTCATAAAGTTGGAAACTTTATGACTCTGGGTGCATGTGGACTGTAGATCTGAAGTATGGGCTTAAGTGCTTAAGCCATTAAGAACTAAATGGATATTGAAGGGTGCGAGGGTACGCCCCGCGTACTCGGTCAACCACCCCGATGGTGGTCTTCTGCAAGGG